AAACACCGTTTGAGGGCTTCTGAATTCATGGTTAAAGTTAAAATTTTCTCACGAACTAACGGAAACAATCGTACCGCATCATTTAAACAATTGGTCGTGCGCAGCAACAATATAAAGTTGAAGAACATCACTCATCAATAAGATTCATCGCGAATAATTCTCATTTAATTTGTTATCACAAAGCTCGTTGCTAGCCACGTTTCAACATATCACTTGATACGATCTATTACTAAAGGCTCATTGAATCCGTGGGATTCGAATTATTGTTGGTAACGGGGAAAAGCTTAAATTGAAGTGCATGACATCCATCATTCCAGGTCTATCTCATCTACGAACATCAGCTGATAGTATTAAATATTCAAATTTTTACTTTGCAAGTACTTAAGCATACTAACGATGCTTTTTTTTTACACGCGTAAGAAAATTTCTACGAGAAGTGATTTGTCTTAACATAAATCCCATTAAATACGCGCTTCATAAGTTCTGGGTCCACTGTGTCATGAAATGGGAAGGAAAAATCATGTAAATTCATTCAAGTCTTCGAAATCACTGAAATCACACGGATTTCACTCCGAAATAATGAACGAAATCACCTCTACTTCTTGAAATCATGCAAAAATCAATCGGGTGATGCGGGTGGAAAATCGTTATAGCCGGTTGAACCTTTTTTGCCCCGCTTCTTCTCGTTCCTTAAACTTCATTTATACCGACTTCAATTACTTCATTATCTCTCAGAAACCGGTCATTACGAATTTAGAAAATCATTTGAAATCTATGATATCATGAAATAACTTTACGAGCCACTTGAATTGGCTCGCGGGAAGTGGCACAGATTACAACTCTTTCAAAATTCACCGGAGTCAAACTCGAAATCACTCTCAAATCACGTAACGTTCCCTTCATTTCAGAGTCATGGTATGACTCGATTAGGGAGCGAGTAGCCTTTCGGAATTACATTACAGAATGAATTTGTGATTAAATTTAAAACAAAAGAGGCCATCATTATGATATGATATTATCTCATTCGATTCACATCATCTCTTACGATTTCCCCTCGTTTTATTAATTCGTCAATGATGTTGTCTGTGCAAAATAAATGAATGAACATTCCAAATGTGAATTGTTATAACCAGTGAAAATCGTAAGAATAACCACCTGGTGGTGGAATGAATTTGAAAAAAATTGAACTAAATGCATGAATTTTTCTATTGTTTATTATTCGGAGTTCTGACTATTTTTAAGTGCCTGCAATCATCATTAACATATTATCTCAAGGAATATCCTTGATTAATTTTCATATGTAATGACTATCACATGTAATACCACAAGAGCTCCAAAATTATCGGGTATTTCCCGATAGGTTTTCTGTAAACAAATGAAGGAGTCAAGTTTTTCAGGTGAAAAAATCACGAGCGCGAAGCGCGAGTGATTTTTCTGAAAAACTTTACGACTGCGTTTGTTTGCAGGGAACCTTGAGGGAAATACCCGATTAATTTTGCAGCTCGCGTGGTATTCGGGGGATTATTTTTCCATCCAAATTCCGGCCAATAGAATTGCACCATAAGACAAAATTAACACAATAGTATTCTATCTGTCAAATTCGATGGGGGTTACGTGGACTGGCCAATCTATTGTTTTTTAGATATATCAACATGAAAAATTATCAGGGAAATTCTCAAAAAATTATCAGTTGCGTTTCGTGTTGACTATATAAAAAACAGTCGAATGGTGCAATTCTATTGGCTGAAATTTGGATGGGAAAAATAATCTGCTAAATATAAATATCACCCTAACTCAATGAACAGGTGGGCCATTCGTTTTCATTCTGTTAATCATCGTGTCCGTTTTTGCTAATGAATTAGCAATATGTTTTCGAATTGATAGATTTCCTAACAAGTCCATTATTGATATGTGCGTTGATATAATAAACATTTTGTAACTTATTTAAGCCTTTTCATATAACTCCTTTGAAACTCTGAGACCCTTGTAAGACCTTCAGGAGACCTTATAAGACCTTCAAAGCCTATCCCTCTTGTTGCTGCGCAACGAAGCTATCGGGAGGTATCCGATCATTTAGAAGGGTATTACGACCCAGCAAACAATATGTCGACAATTTGTCGACAAATTACCGATGTCCTGTTAAATTTTAGATGGCACTAGCAAAAATTGTTTTCTGGGGACTGACAATTGAACTAAATTTAATTTCTAATAGAATTCGTATGAATTTTCTATCTTCTTTAGCAAAATTTCCAATAGGAAATATGCTATAAGAAATGCAATTTTAATTCAATAAAATTGCTTATTGAATTTGTTACATTTTATAAATTTTATAATACATGCTAACTCGACTATCAAGCACAATATCATTTGTGAACATAGAATAATTAAAATTGTTAATCTTCGTCGAGGTAAATCGTGCCCCAAGAACTATCAGTGATAATTTTTGGTTTTCCAATAAATTTTTCATTTTAATAGTTATCATTGCGATTCCATCCTTAATGCATAGATGATTTATTTTTTATTAGTCGCGAATATCGAAGAAGGAAAAAAAGGTATTTAAATCTCGGAATTATTGTAAATGAACAACGAATGAATGAAGTAATCGAAGAATTGAAGCTTTTTATTTTTTTTATTTTGGAAGATTTTGTGTGAAACGCTCGAAAGACGTCCCGCTATATTCAGGCAAAGTTTATCTCTTTTCTTTTCTCACACTATCCCTCACGCACTCACTGGATACATCAGGTGACTCACACGTCCCTAAATCACAACGAGTGCGAGCGAGCGCGCAACTCTATCTCTGACTCTCTCAGGGGGGGGGGGAATATTGACATCCGTATACGCGCCCTGTTATACCAACAAGTGTGTACTCCGCGTAGTTCATGGGTCGCCGCTACGAAAAAACTTGGTCGAAGCCCTTGCATAGGCGTTGGAGATCTCCCATATAATCTCTGCTCGTCACCAGAGATTATATGGGTGTCGAGGAGTGAATACGGTGCAGCGCACAGAGTCGGCCACAGCCGCAGTGATAGGTAGGGAGCTAGGGTGGAGGCTACGATGGTATCAATTGGCGATGCTAAAAACGATTTTTCGCCCTCTACTGAGGGTTTCTATAACTAGCCTATGCCGGAGCCTACCAGGTGGTTGGGCGCTGAAATGTATGGATATACGAAATTAAGATCTTTGCCTCCCATTAGCCTATCATTATTGGGCTTTAGTAAATATGAATATCAATCCAAAGTTCAATTTGACATTTTGTGATATTGGAGACTTACTAGGAGATACTAGGAGACCAATTGAAGCAGGAGAGGAGGTATTATTAGCTATGAACACATCCTCATCTGGGGTGTCGAAAGTTATAAACAGAATTACGTAGAAATTGTGTCAGCTTGTCGTCAATCGTCACATTGGAATAATTACCACGAAATAACTATAAAAATTCTGTTTGAGGAAAATAAGACGAAAATAATTAGCAAATGTACTTGTCCAGCTGGCTTGGGTGAAAAATGTAAACAAATTTTTGTGACACTTCTATATATATATTTTATTTATTTTATTTATTTATTTATTCTATTTATTTATCTTCTATATATTTATATTTATTTAAGTCGTGTGTTTTTTTTGTTTTTGATCGTTTTATCTACTCCAATACATTTACTGATCGTCAGTCATATTCGAGTATACGCAATCTGTATTTTAAATATTGTATTTATCTAGGGTTCGAGTTGATAGATTGGAGATGTTGAGCTGTACAGACTTGAAACAGCAATGGGACAAGGTGAAATCAAATGCTGATTTACCCCAGAATCAGGTAGTGAATTTGGAGGAATTTTGTTGCATGAAGGTGGAGAAGGTAGAAAAGAGAATGATCCAAACTCCCAGATTTTTTTTTTAAATACATTGATGACAGGTAGGGAAATTGTGAAAGCTCAAATTTGATTTATCTTTAATTTTACAGTTTGGCACACAGCAGACTCTTCGATCATTTTTTTATAAACATTTGTAGTCATTTTTATGAGTAAAATGAAGTTCACTTTGTTTTGATGTGAAGTTGGTCACAAAATAGGACGTGACATTGGCTATTTCGCCTTAGAGTAGTTCCGAATCAGTCCGTTTTTCTGGGTATAGCGCTGGAAACACTTTTGGCATCGCCAATTCTTACGGATTGATACGAGCAACTCTGCTTCAGAGTACGTGCCCTGTTGAAAAACCTTTAAAAACCCCCGTCGCGGATAAACTTACATAAAGTAGGTATAAGTAAGGCGACGTTAAAAAAAATATTTCTAGTACTTGCAAAAAGTAATATTACTTCCGATCCCTCCTTCAAATTGGGATACATGACTACAAACGAAATATAGAGAGTATGTCAAAGTCTGGATACAAGTAAAGTATTGTTACCTAAGTGAAAAAATCAGTTAAATATTCAACTATACTGGAGCACTTATTTATAGGAGAATATGATATTGCGTGATCAGAGGGGCGAAAGGATCCATGAGACAAATGGAAATGAAATTACCTCACTTCATTGTTCTTCACCTCCGCATTGAGTTCAATGAAGAAAATTGATTAGGTCTTGAAGAGAAGGGGAAAGAAGAAAATTAGTCGCGCCGCGGGTCTTATCAGTTCTTGGAGAAAAACGCGTCACTGGTGCTAATTGTCCCAATTAGCCCATCATCAATTTCTTTCGGCTAGCCGAAAAAGATAAATACGTCATGAGTATAGTGAGATCTTTCTGAACATCCTGATAATGAATTTATTCACATAATTCGACAATAAAGCCCATTCAATGGAGGAGGATAAATAAATACAACTACCAATATTGCATTCTTGATGAGAGTAATAACAATGACAGCAATGGTGGTAATGATATTTGTATGCGAATGGTAATGATGGTGATTAGGGTGATTATGTATGTCCAGGCGACCTGAGAAAGAAGAGAGAACCAAAATGAGAAAGAAATGGAATGTGTTACATGCAGTCTCAATGTGGTCGCGGTGCGTTGGAACAAATGATGAGGGTGCGAAAAAAATGGTGCAGACTCCACAGTGTCGACGTCAAACATTGAAACAAGGTGATAGTAGTGGTGGTGGTTACGGAAGGTGGCTGAAGGTGAAGAGATGTGATACCAGAGGAACAAACCACCGGGCGTGGGCTGCAGAACACTCTCATTGGCTATTTCAACTGAGACGTGCCGGTTTCCCCCGCCGTTATGCTTACCAGTAGCCGGCCAATCAAGCGCAACAGAGACACGACGATTACTTTTGAAACGTATAAATGTGACGGTGGAAAGTCGTCCGTTGTCAGTTCTTCTTTTAAAACCCTCTCATCATCATCCAGTTGTTGAGCTCATACCTTTTCAAACAGTTTGTCTCATTTTCCTGACAAGCAGAGAACCAACTTTTTAGAGTCTATAGACCCAACGGATAAGAGCCATTAATAAGTGTGCATCATCGTGACGATCGCGGGTTTAATTTGAGGAGACAATCATAAAACGGTGCATAAAGGTAAATAAATACTTTTTAAAAATTACTTATCCATTTCATTCTTATGACTGTTGTGAGAGACTATCATTATGATATTTCATTTCTTCTTCATTGTCTTTTTTCGGAAAAAATTTTTTGATTTCCTGTCATTATTTTGAAATTTAGAATGATATATTTTCTGAATTGCCGGAGTGTAAAACCTTTAGCTATGACCTGTCAGCAACTTGAAATAGTATTGCAAAGATAAATTGCGGTTGAGCTCCGTCATAAACATCACGGAACGAGAGGCACGTGCAAATTCTCCCTAATACGGCTCTAAACTTTTCTCAATTTTCTCATCGGACATGTAATAATAATTCACTGAGTCTATGAAATACGGGGGTGAATCATACAATGATATTGAGACAGAGGAAAATGGGAAAAAAAGAAAGAGACAAATCGAGAGTTCAAGCAGTAGTGAAGAATTGGATCAAGCGTTTTGTCAGGCCTGAACTTGACGAGACAGTCATTTTTGCGAGCCAATCGAACCGGTTCAAACTTGTTGTTTAACTACCTGTGTACAATTCATTAATGGCTTACACATGTAAAAGGCAGCACACCATGTTCTGTCATATTTTATTAAATTAATTTATTCACCAGTATTATTTGATGAATAACGAAATTCCGCTGCATTATTGCCGTCATTCGTACTTTTTTCCGGCTCGAGTGGTCGTTTTTCCATTCAACTACCTGACATCGGTACGTCCATTACCCGAGTGGAAATTCTTTTCAGGTCTCGATCAGAAACTGATCAAGTCCGATCCGAAATTCTGATCAGGCATGTTACGCCTCTGCCTTATGTTTTTCCACTAGGGTTTCTCCGCCTTCCATCATTAGGCATTAATTAAATTTAATTTTTTGAGAGAAAAAATTAGGAACTTCCTAGCCGGGAATCGAACCCGGGACCTCCCAATGTCGCGTCGGGTGCTCTTACCATCTGAGCTACCAGGACACTTACGAATTTCACTCTCAAATTGCCTCATACCCGAGTGGAAATTCTTTTCAGGTCTCGATCAGAAACTGATCAAGTCCGATCCGAAATTGTGATCAGGCATGTTACGCCTCTGCCTTATGTTTTTCCACTAGGGTACGCGCTACCCACGTGCTAAACTCAGCCCGTTGCAGAAATTTCTCATCAGAATCGTCAAAATCCTCCGTGGATCAAGTCGATCCAGTGGAAGCAAGAGGCATGAATTTCACTAACAATTATGTACCATTATTGAATTACGGACTATTTCAATACTCAATACTCATTTCAATTTAATGTCATCGATTTGTATTTTTTCCTTTTTATACACATAAAATTTTTCTATTCATGAGGAATGAAAAATATCAGAGTTTGAACTAATACCTTTAGCGTTCGTGGTTTGTTTTTTTCTTAGCCAAAATTTAAATAGGAAAGAATAGCCATCTGTTCGTTACAACAGAATGGAGCAATGTCGAGAGCAAGCGCGTAAGCGGACGTCCAATTTTCATCAGCCAAACGAGGTGCGCGTTACTGTCGTCGTCCCAGAAGCATACATTGTGTCACAGGCTACCAGCCTTATGTTTCACAAATGGGGGTCGCGAAAGGAACAATATCCGCAACATTCAAATTTCAAGATTTTCGAAAAGAAACAAACATTATTTGACAAAAAAAAAAGTTATCAAAGTTATGTTATAATTCAACACCATCAGGCGGCAATTCTTTTATATTTGAAAATATGTTGCGACAGGGGAGAAAAGTGGTAGCGCGGGGGGGGNGGGGGGGGGGGGGGATTTGCAAGGTGTTCTGTTTTGAGAATGCTGCCCGCGCGATATTTATTCCTCGGGCGTTTTAGCGCAGTCGGTCTGCGCCCCGAAAGACAAATTATATCGACTTCTGAGAGACTCGCTTGTGAGGACGATGCACGCGTCCACATCGATATAGCTGGCTCTAAAATCCCCGAGGAACGTTGATGTGCGCAGTTTCTGACCGGCTGATTCGAATTTTTATTGCCAGTTTATTCGATATCTACCTTTTCATTTCAATGGCTTTGAAATGAAGAGCAAAGAATGTTTTTTCCTCGTCCGTGACTCCATTAAATTTGAATTTGAAATTACAGTGTAGCAAATGCACCACAGTTTTTTCTACTTCTTGGCATTAATCGCCTTCGGAGACAGATAAAATTTAATTGTTTCGGTTCCCCGGTATTGACGAAGATCGATATGTTTATAATTGAGGGAAGAAACAAATGAGCACTATATGTTTCGAGAAAGTGTTAGCGTAGACAAGAATAAATGAGAAAAAGATAAGGCAAACCATTAAAGAATAGATCTGCAATGTTAAGGGTATTATGGCGGGGTCCGCAAAAACACAGAATTGAATGAAAATTTTTCAACATATTGTTTAACCTATTGAAAAACCAACAGCAAAATATCAAGAACCTCAGGTACACAATAAGAATGGTATAAAATTTTTACGTTGCTATTTATACACGCGGTTGAATGAAGCATCTACAAGGGCGGGATAACGTAGGGAAAACGCTAAAGTTCTCGGTGCCTCATTCAGCCGCGTGTATAAGTAGCAACTTTAGAAATGACTTCCATTGTTATGGAGTTCTTGAAATTTTGCACACGGTTCTTAAAGGGATTGAATAATGTGTTGAAAAATTTTCATTCAATTCTGTTTTTTTTTCAGATTCCCGCTGACCCCACCATAAGACCCTTAAAGGATTGCTTCGGCCTTTGAGAGAAGAGCCGAATGCCTCCGATCACTCGTATGATCATTCAAACATTTACGAATGCCCCTAAAGTGGTTGGCGAACAGTTATTAATTTACAAGTGAATAAAAGAAGAAACGAGGAGAGAGATGTGAATACCAAGAACGAAATGACGATATGATAGAGAAGAGATCGAGGGTGGGAGGTCTATGAGGTCAGGAGTAGGGTGGGTGTGCCCCGTAACTAATTCCTAGAAGGGGAAAAAGGGAGAGGACATAAAATTGTACCGTCATTCGCTTTGCATCATTCAGACCAAGTCTTAACCCCCAGCTTCGCCAAGGGAAACGTTAATGCAGATCGATCTCAACAAAATGTGCATTTATTCGTAATTGATTAAAAAATTGAAAGGCGAACCATTTTAATTTTATAGTCATAATTGAGCCTCCTTCCAAAGAGAAAAATTTGTCGTTTTCCATACTATTTCGATCCACCGAGAATGAATCACGAGAAGGGAAATGAATTTCTCCGACATGTGATGAAATTCCTATAGCATTTCATCACATGTGATGAAATTCCTATAGCATTTCATCACATGTCAGGTGTTGGTGTCAGAGGCGTAGAGCATCGATATAATCTTGGCTGTCAGTGATAAAGAGAGGAATGAGACGAGTATGTGAGAGAGCGATACGAGAAGACGGGTGCAGAGGATAAATGAAGAGTGTCTACCCGCTCGTGGCTGTATGGTCGGCAGACGGTTGAGGATGCGATGACGAATGCGAACGTCTACTCTCGTATAAGCACACACTTGCCAGCAGCGATGGAAATCTCGTGACCGGAATGGCTGGCATAACTTGATTGTGCTTGCAGGCATCGAGGAGTTCCCACCTTGTTCTTAGCACTCTTATCATTCTCCCTCTCTCCTTCCGCTCGCTGTATCATCTCCATGTATTGAAAATCGCGTGATTCTCATATGCTTATATGACGAACATCCATATCAACGTACCTTCACGAAACACCATTAAGTAGACGATTTTTAATCTGTCCGACATTTAATTACATACATAAGTGGTAAAAGCCCGGTGGCTTGGCGCAGTGGGTAAGTTCGTTGCGTCACATGCGAAAGGTTCCGAGTTCAAATCCCGGCCGGGTAGAATGGTGCGATCTAACCATTCAAAGTCTTGATCATCATCGCAGTATACCCTAACCGGGTCGAAGCGATGTAAAATAACGATAAAAAAAAATAAGTGGTAAAAAACTGAGTAATCAAAAATTACTTTTTGCCAGTTCGACTTTAGATAAAGACGAAAAATTCAATATTATTCAGTGGAAAATGAAATATAGATGAAGGAAAAAAAGACTTGAACCTTGAAAACGTAGATTGAATTGATGTTCATGATATAAGCGATGTAAATACATGTTAGACTGAAATGTGTTAGGACATGAACATAAATATACGGACGAGGAGAGATGAGTATGAAAAATGGAGATACAATGATGGAATCGTTGATCGAGCCTTCGAGAGATTTATGAAAGGGAGTTTAATTGGCATACGAGGATGCGCCCGTAGCGTGTGACATGAAAAACGAATGTACGAAAGATCGAGTAGTGAGGATGCAATGAAGAGGGGCGCGGAGGATGATGATGATAATGATGCATTTGGATTTGCGAGTCAAAAGTATGCAAGAATGAAGATGTGAATGAAAGATTACGATTTGATTGATTGCGTATTTTTTGTGCCAAGAAACCAATGAACTTCTGTCCTTTTTTGTCTCTTTACTCGCTTATTCTTTTATTCCATTCTTATTTCACTTTAGATGCAACGGAGTCTATTAGGGTTTCTCGTGGGCTTTTCCACAATCACAATTCTCCTGCAAGTGGTAGCAGGAAGTTCCCTCGGCTTCCTGCGCGCTCTGGCGCAAGAAGAGGCTGAAGACGAGCAGCAGCAGCAGTTGGCCTTCGATGATGTAGAACAAACAAATATGATCTCAGACTACCCAATTAAATACACACCAACACATAAACAGGTAATTAAAATAAAAACATGAGCAATTGAGACTCACTCGCTTATACATCATTGATCGACTGATTGAGTCATTGACTTTTACACGTAAAATACTCATTAAGGATATTCAAGTACTTCGTTCAAATTAGCAACTTTTTTTCAAGCAAGATTTCAGTTTTGTCGAAAATCTTGCCGTCCCCATACTTTTTCGGATGTTTCATTATTGAATACATTTTTTCGGGAATTTCTTCAATGAATAAATAAATACTAAATAAATACTTTTTAAAAATTACTTGTCCATTTCATTCTTATGAATGTTGTGAGAGACTATCATTATGATATTTCATTTCTTCTTCATTGTCTTTTTTCGGAAAAAATTTTTTGATTTCCTGTCATTATTTTGAAATTTAGAATGACATATTTTCTAAATTGCCGGAGTGGATGTTTCATTATTGGAACATCCACTCCAGCATTAGTGGATGTTTCATTATTGAATACATTTTTTCGGGAATTTCTTCAATGAATATTGTGAATAATATTTTATTCAATTTCAGACTTGACTCTCGTTGGTCTAACCTCTAATGATCATACGGCAACACTGCACATGTGTTGTATATAACCTCGTAAATTCGGTCCGAGTAGTCACTTGAGCGGACTGTTGCCAGACGTTAGGAATGCACAGATTCAAACCACCCAATATGGCCGTCGTACCAATCAAGAAGCTTTTAATTTGATTGTTTGCAATTATCTGTCCGGAAACTTATGTTTTTTAATGTCGCAAAAAAAACTAGAGAGTGTTTATACTGCGCCTAAAAAATACTCTTGGTCTAGTCTATAAACTCTGAAGGGGATTTCCCCCAGAAAAAATTGCCTGAACTACTTGGATATCCTTAATGGCACGAAACTCTTCTTACTTTGAACTATTCAGTTTTTTGCTCATTTATAATTGGTTTGGAATTCAAAAGTCATTATTTCTGGGAAAATATAAATTTTCTATTGATTTCCTGATGGATCAACCCGATACTTGTCTGACACTTGCGAGTGTCGGTGAATCAGAAACAGTTGCGGAGGAATTGTTGGAGAAACAGTCGCGCCACAGTGATTTCGACACTTGATTAATAATTACTGAATTGGTTAATTAATGAGCCAGCGTTAATGCGAGGATTATCGGGAATTATCGAGTCGGTTTTAAAAACAATCAATATTTGTTGATTTCAGTCGGAATCGGAAAGAGTACCGGAGGAACTGTCGGAGAACCTATCGCTCCATAACGATTCCAACGATTGATTAATAATTACTGAATCGGTTATTTAATGAGCCGGCGTTAATGAGGTCATTGGGAATTATCGAGTAGCTTTTGAAATCAATTAAGATTTGTTACTTGAACAGGAGGGGG